GCGTGTTTTAAGCCACCGGTCCGGGACACGAACCACGGTCGACTACGTGGGAGTCCAGTGACATAGCCATTACGCTAACTGCTGGTTCCCCTTCCAATAACTCTTAAGTAATGATCCAGGACTAACTCTCATTGGCCTGTTTGGTCACATGCCACGCCCCCTACCCAGATGATCACTGCCTGTGGGTGGGTGGGGCGTATGTTAGACACTACTCTGATGGGCAGGTCACGTGCTTAGCTCTGGAGCTGTGGGACAAAGTAGCCCAGTCAAACAAGGGCAGGTGCCTGTCCGGCCTTTCTCTGGGCCTGTGGGCAGAGCCATGCCTGGTTCCCGTGCCGTGCCTTCCTTGCCCTCACCAGGACCAAAGGCTGATCTTGGAGCGCCTGCAGGCCATGTACACCGTCGGCTACTCCGTGTCCCTTGCCACGCTGCTGCTAGCCCTGCTCATCCTGAGTTTCTTCAGGTGCGACGCCCAGCCCTGAATGGTGGTAGCCGAGACGTGGGCTTCCGTAGTCCAGAAAGATGGGGCGCTCCACCAGCTCCTGGCATCTACTGGCGGTTCTATGGGATGGCCTGGGGGTGCTCCTAGGGACTCTATGACGGAGGACAGCTCTCCAGGGTCTTCAGACGGCTCCCCCAACCCCACAGGCGGCTGCGCTGCACTCGGAACTACATCCACATGAACCTGTTCATGTCGTTCATGCTGCGGGCAGCGGCCATCCTCACCCGGGACCGGCTGCTGCCTCCTCCTGGCCCGTATCCTGGGGACCGGGGCCCTACCCTGTGGAACCAGGTGCGTGTCATCCTTCTGTCCCTCCAAGTGGGAATCTGTCTCCTCTAGTGGGACCAGGGAGTTACCCATCCATTTCCCACCTCCTATGCAATCCGCATTTCTTTTTTTTTAAGAATTATTTTATTGGGACCAGCAGGTCTGGTGGTTAAGGCTCTGGAAACTCCCACATGGCTGATCATGGTTCCCGTCCTCAACCTGGTGTCTTTCT